CACTTATCTCAGGTATTAAATTTATCCATCACCCTCGAAGTAGTTCCCCTGGGAGTGAACACAACGATCCCAGCGCCGCTGCCAAGCCTGGAAGCATCCCTGGAAATCTTTCTTTGTCAGCCTGTCAAGCACCATCTGCGATTCTGTCTGAATCTCTTCTATCGTCTCAAATCTCCTTCCCTTTAGCTGAATTTTCATCTTTGGGAAGAGGAAGAAGTCACACGGCGAATAAGGAGGGTGCGGGATGACGGCCATGGTGTTTGAGGCCAAAAACTGCCGAACTTTGAGGGCGGTGTGCGCTGGCGCGTTGTCTTGATGCGTCGCATGTGGAGTTCTTCCTTTAGAATCAGCTGACAGGTCCCATAGCCTATCCCAACAATGTCGCATTAGTCGTTGATGGTACGACGTCGATCTTCGTAACTTTTTCGGGCGTTGTGCTCGAAGATGGTCGTCCAGAACGCTCGTCATCATCGACAGAGGTTCGGCCGGCCCTTTTTAAAACGTGAATGCCACACAAAAGTTTGCGGACTCCCCAAATGTTTGCTTTAGCATTTCATAGGTTTCCGTAGCGGTTTTGGCGAGTCTTTGGCAAAATTTGATGCACACGCCATTCCGAAATCGCAGGAGGGTCGGTGTAATGCACTACCAAAACGCCCGTAACTAAGAAACAAATGCTAATTCGATGATGCCGGCTGGCACACTGATTCACTATGAATGTAGGCCGCACCCCCTAGCGGCAGAAGCTCGTACTACACCCGGTTCGCCCTCTATTGACACAGTCTTGAAACTTTCCGATCGCACCTCGTATTATCCGCATTGTGGACTTTGGTTGGGAAATTAGTCTTTTTCACTGGTCTTCTTTGACTTTGTAGTTATTGAGCAGTACAAGAAATTCCCTGTTATGAAACCGAAAGATTTGTCACTATCAGAATGAAAGTCGTCGTCAGACAGTTTCTGTAGCATCCTTCTGATGAAAGAAAGTTATATCATGTCTGACTGAGTGATTCATTGGTTAAAAATGCTGTTTCACTGCAGTGGTTATGAAACATTGGATGTGCTGAACAGATGGTCATGAATGATGAACAGGTAAGGATTTGAAAGATGGGTATCGTAACCTGTTCAAATACACTCTTCCATCATTTTCCTGGAGATAATTCAAGAAACTTTTAACACCACATTTAGAACAGTTTTTGGACCCACTTATCGTATCCAGTGAGTACCAGGGGCTCTTTACCTAGGGATAATGATTCAGATCGGTAAGTTGACCACTCACTTCGTGTGATTCCAAATTAAATACATGGTGCTTTAATTACGTTCCCCATGCACGTCTTCGAAGTGTTCTTAAACATGGGGACTCCTTTACTTTAAACCACAGCAAAGAAGAAAATGTGACATTAAACTCTATCTGTTCTACAAACATAGGTGACGTAGTTCATCACATCTTTAAAATGGGACTAGATTCTGTTTTCAACGTACTTCATGTATTCATACACCAGTGGGAAATTCAAACATTCTGTGCTTAACGTACGTCACTAGATGGTAGAGGAGATGCAATGTAAAAATGTTAAATGTTAAAACCAAATTTTATAATTAGCACGTTACTTAATGTGTTACTTCTGTTACATTATTATCTTGATTCACAAGCAATTATGTTTTAATCTGATATTGAACTAAAATTTACAGTATTCTTATTGTTATATGTGGAAAGTATACCGTAATGAATTTAAGTCATATATGGAATCCTGTTGCCACTCAGTATTTTACTATTTTTGAGATAGACATGAAAATATATGATACATGTGTCAACCAAGGGACCAGGTACTATTGAATATGATGGTCAAATTAGTAGAGGATGGGGTATGGAGAAAATTTCATAATGATGAGCTTAAGTATTTGTATTCCTTACCCAATATTTTCAGGGTGATTAAGTCGAGAAGAATGAGATGGGCGGAGTATGTAGCGTGCATGGATGGGATAAGAAGTGTGCACCGGGTATTGGTCGGGAAGCCTGAGGGAAAGCGACCGCTGGGGAGACCTAGACATAGATGAGAGGATAAACTTAAGCGGGATCTATGGGAAATAAGAGTTGAAGTATACTGGATTTTGTTGGCCCAGGACAGGG